GTTCACAGCGCCCCTGACTTTGGGTTTCCACCTCCTCGGAGTAGGCCCTGTAAAGCAGCGTTGACACATTGAGCTGGTCTGTCAATTTGTCAATAGTTTGTTGCATGGCAGTCACCCTGTCTGCCTCTTGTACCCTGTGGGCTAAATCCTCGGCGCGCTCCTGCTGGAGCCCCTCGAATTTCTCAAAAATTTCGGCTGCCTCTGTGGCTGCCGTCTGTCGGTCTCCCTCGGAGTCGCGACTGATGTTTTCAATGTCAACTTCGGCCTGGAGCACCCTGTGGTCCAGGTCGTCCAACCTTTGCACTAGGCTGGTTCTTAGTTCAGGCACCGTATCCACAATAGGCTGTAATACCTCAACCGTCCCTTCGAGAGCCGCAATGCGGTCCCCATGATTCACCATGGTCAGAAATGGTGGTAATGTCAATACGTTCCCTCGTCCGATGTCGAGCCTATGCTCTGATACCAACTGTTACGCGGCGCCTTCCTGAGATTCCTTGGAAGGGCGACGTAAGGCTAGGCAACTGATGTCAGTGCAGTTGCTGTCCGCCAACTGAGGTCCCCTCCGTACGCTAGACGAGATTGTCAGTGCCGTACGGGAAAACCAATGTCAAGAGCAATTGAGAGAACAGAAATGAGAATTCAGAATGAAAGAAAGCTTGATTGCATTAATGAAAGCTATTATAGAAAAGCAACGCGGTGTCGAGGGGGAGAGACACCAGTACAAAGAATTGCTTGCTTGCTAGAGAGTTTTGATTGCTTGATCCCCCCTAATAATACTTAAAAAAAATAATCCAAAGCTACAAGACTAGACTTGACTAAGCTAGAGAAACATAATGGAAGTACATGAAATAAAACTACTCTATATTTACAATGAAAATGACTTAGTTTTCTATAAGGCAGCAGCAGGTCCGTTGTCAGCAGCAGTGTCTTTGGCATCACGGTCTGCGCGCACGGTGTTGTCTGCGCGCACGACGCTGTTGGCTTCTGCCTGCGGCTTGGCGCTGGCGAGGGATATCGGTGGGGCGACAGAGGCACCTGCGCGCTTGTCACTTGGTGCGGCCAAGACCACAGGGCCGTCCGTAGCGCTAGGCATTGGGAGGCTTGCTAGGACGCCACGGGGCGCGCCCAAGGGGTCATGGGACATGGCTGGAAAGCCGCCCATGACATAACCCATGCGTAACTGCTCGATATTTCCTTTTACAGTTTTCCTATACGGGGATAGCCTCGTGATGAGAAAGAGGATATATGTATACGTAAGCAAGAAGTCGCAAATTGGAAATAGATATTGCTCCTAATAGAAGTCTCAAATATGCATATAATATTTAGCTCCCATTTGGACATAAATTTTTCTTTCTTTCTTTAAAAAAATATTAAAAAACATTGTTTGTTCATGGAGATTGAAATTTTTTTTAAAAGTTTTTTAAGTGAAATTTTTTCTTCCACTCACAAAATTTCAATTTTTTCCCAAGTAAAATACATGTGCAAACTTCAGCTTCCAAAAAAATATTTTTCAACATAACTTTAAAGACTTTTTTTCTTCAAGTTTCAATCAAATTTGTGTCTAAACGCTAGCTGCCAATTGGTTAATCACCGACTCAATCGAGTAAAAACCCCTTTTCTTGGCTTTTTATTGCTACCAATAAGGCCAAAAAAAAAGGAAAGAGAGAGGAAAAGTTCCGTGAAAGTGATGCATGAAGTCTCGTCATCTTAGATGAAAAAGAAAAAAATAATCTCATTATATTATGTGGAATTGAGCGAAGACCAAGAGATAGAAATTACACAACCATAACAAAAATAAGAATACTTTTGACGTAACAGTACTATTAGATGAAAACCATGTTTCAACCACTTCTCTGGATTTCCCATGAACGAAATTACACAACCATAACAAAAGATAAGCTGCTATTGGCGTAATTAAAATAGTAATGATGTCGCTATCACCAGACTAAAGTCATTTACATCACGTACCTACTAAGTTTCGAAGGGTAATTAAACATTCTTTTTAAGCAGCTAGTCAACCAATAGTAGTAGACGAATTTGAAACTAATACCTGAATCGGAGTCTAGGACCACGTATAGTTTTCAAACAAGAATGTTTCAACAGTCTCAAAAACTTTATGTAACGAACACGTACGTTATACTACAAGAATTATAAAACGATATATTATAATGAGAATGATATTTAGCATTTAAATTTCTTGTGGGACGTATACTTGTGTACTAAAATTGCTATAAAAAGAGGAAATAGTAAGAATTATAAACAACAAAGCAACAACAACAACAACAACAAATCTAGTGTAATCTCATAAAGTGAAGTTTGGAGAGGATGGAGTGTACGCACACCTTACCCCTACCTTACGAAGGTAGAGAAACTGTTTCTGATAGACTTGGCTAAATAGTAAAAAATATGTTAGTTATAAATTGGATAACTTTTTTCATAATACGTACCCTTATTGCTCCTCTAATTTTAAATGCTTATAGCTAGATAAAAAAAAATTACTTAATGAAGAATGTCAAAGGATAATGATAGTTTTCATACTTTGGCAACTGAAACAAAATCTATGCCCTTAATTTTTTTCCTATAATATTTTCAGAACTAAAGAATGTGAATCAAGAATTAGCTTTAATAATTATTTATAAACATACAATTGTAGCATATAAATAATTGAATTCAACCTTATTAAAAATTCTTATTATTTAATAAAATATTATTTTAATTGGTTTAAAAAAAAAAAAGTAAATCGACTTATTATACTGTAAGATGATTTGAAAAAAAGGTATTTGGTTATTTTAGGTGTTTTTACTCAAGTACTACCAATACACTTGTTCTTGCTTTACATCATATCTCGTGCAAATTAAATAAATTTTCATCTGCATTGTCGGCTATTATTTAAAGTGAAAATAAACATGATAATCCGTGTTATAGTAGTTTTGTGCAAGTTATTTTCTATAGGAGTAGCTACTATCATTAATTCGTCGAGACAACTTCCTCTTTGTTAGCAATTAGTGCATTTGAAAAGGAAAGGTAAAAGAGAAAAATATGTAGAAAATTGCAACTGGAGGATTATCCTACATGTTTGTCAGTTTATACAATATTTTATGTCTTTTCTCTTCCAATAGTAAGGATTAGATTCTCTCTAATCTCCTCCTAACCTTCTTCCCTTGTGGAAAATGTTCGTATCTTCAACCCCTTGTGGGACCTTTCTTTTCTCTCTCAAATTAAACTCACTTTATACCATCACATTGTACCATCTCTCTTTCTAATTTTCTTAAGGCTGCTTGACTAATTTCAAGAATTCATATCTATCATGTTTTTCTCAATTTTAAATTGTCCAGAAAAATGGGTCACTCTTGTTTCCCACATGAAAATTACTACTACTACTAGCTATTTAAAGCTAGACAAACTCTAGAACCTTATAAAATCCATAAGGGTCTGGTTTTTTTAAGTCAAGTTTGGTTTTCTTGATTTGACAGACTTGAAATAAGTTACTAAAAAGGGGCTTTATCACTTATATATATGGTTTCTTGAGTAAAGTTCCAAACTTTAGTCCTCTTCTGTGTTGCTGAAGTGGTGGGAATGAAGTTTCTTGAGGCAGTGTCACTATTTGTTTTCATTTTGGTACTGCAAAATAGACATGGGAACTGTCAAAGGCCTAATGTTGTGAATGTGGGTGCAATTTTTAGTTTTGATTCAGTGATGGGTAGGGCAGCTAAGACTGCTATGGAGTTAGCAGTCTCTGATATCAATGGGGATCCCAGCATTCTGAATGGGACTAAGCTTAATTTGGTTATGGCTGATTCAGATTGCAGTGTCTTTAAGGGGTCCATTGAAGGTACATGCTACTGCCATTTTTATCTCTTTCTCTTGGTTAATTGTAGTTTTTCATGTTGTTAATGGGAAATTATTGTGGTAATCATTTCAGAATTTATCTTTACCTATTTGGAATTTTACTGACGCAAGCTAAGCTTGTAGTAATATTTTACCTCCCAAAAGCTCTTGTTAAGTCTATGGTGGACCTTTGAGATGTTTCAGTAGTCATATTTGATTAGCTATTTTCAATAATGGGTTACTAGTTTAAAACCACTGAGTATCAATAGTCGTTGTCGAGTTTATATGGAGTAACATGGTCACTGAGGACAGAAGCGTAGCTAGAATTTGAAGCTTATGGGTTCATGGGTTCAAAATTTTAGTTTTTTTAAGTTACTGGGTTCTTACTTAATAATTTGTGCATATTCAATAAATTTCTTAAGACTAATATAAGATTGTATCAAAGCTACTGGGTTCGGCCGAACCCGTAGCTGAAGGGCTGGCTCCGCCTCTGACGGAGGATACTCATAGTCGATCCCAACTTGTTTGGGACCGAGACGTAGTTGTTGTTGTTTTTTGTTTTGGGTTGTTGATTTGTCTAATTTATGAAGCAGGAGATTCTTAGTTGGTCTATGAAGGAGGTGAAAACCAATTTTATGCACTAACCAATTTTAGATTAAGTTCTAGTTTCTGGAATTCATTGTCTTTCCCTTTTCATGTGTTCTTTTCAAAATGAATTGGGATTGTGGAACAATATGCTTTGTGAATGATGTACTGTTCATCCCCCTCTAATTCTTCATCTATCTGCAATATTCCAGTTTCTCTTAACTGTTTTGTCACTAGTTCAGCTTGTCACATTTCCATCTAATTTTCTAAAGAGCAAAATATTGTTAACTTTTTATCTTCTTATTATGAATTTTTTTTTAGGAGAGTTGTTGCAATAAATTGTTATTCCTTTACCAAGAGAGCTATTTTCTTCAAAGTCGCGCCGAAAAAGCCATTCAATATCTTTCTTTCTTGCCAGGTCAAAAAATTAATTTCATCTTTTACATATTAGTTTCTACTAGATTAAGAACATTTGTAATTAATTGATCTTCTCTTGAAAATGTGATGCCAGATTTTCTAAGTTAAAGACATCATAAGAATCTGCAATGTTTCTTTCCAGTCAGCAACTACAAAAAAGAAAAAGGATTGCTTTATACACATTATCTGGAGGCACAGAAATTATGTCCTAAAGTTGATATTCATGTTCAAGAATCCATCCAGCATAGTTTATGATTCCAATTCATTTTGTCAGCTTTACAGGTAATTGAGAAGCAAGTGGTGGCATTAATTGGTCCACAATCTTCTGCAATAGCTCATATGATTTCTTTCATTGCTAATGGTCTTCAAGTTCCTCTTATATCATATGCTGCCACTGATCCAACACTGTCTTCCCTCCAGTTCCCTTTTTTCCTTCGGACCACACAGAGCGATTGGTACCAAATGGCAGCTGTTGCCGACATTGTCAGCTTTTACGAATGGAAAGAAGTCATTGCCATATTTCTGGATGACGACTATGGGAGAAATGGAATAGCTGCTTTAACTGATGCACTTGCTAAGAAAATGTCAAAGATCTCTTATAAACTACCATTACCTATCAATTATAATCTCAGTGATGTGATTTATGTGCTAAATCAATCGAAATCGTTAGGGCCTCGTGTTTTTGTTGTGCATATCAATCCTGACTCCCAATTAAGATTCTTCGACGCAGTCGAGAAGCTGAAAATGACTGGGAGCGATTACGTGTGGCTTATGACAGATTGGTTTTCTACTACTTTAGATTCTTTCTCCCCAAAAAACGAATCTTATCTAAGCACTCTTGAAGGTGTAGTTGGTCTTCGTCCCTATATTCCACAAACTATCCAGAAAAGGACATTTTTGTCTCGCTGGAGAAAGTTGCAACGGAATGAGCTGGTAAACTCAGGATTGACTGCATATGGTCTTTATGCTTATGATACTGTGTGGGTCGTTGCACGTTCAATTGATAACCTACTTCAACAGGGAGGCAACGTAAGCTTTTCTCTCAGCAGTATGTTAAATGGTACAACAAGTGATAAACTACAGCTTGGGAAACTCAAAGTATTTGATAGTGGAGAACTTCTAATGAATATCTTATCACAAACAAACTTCACTGGCTTAACAGGAAAGATTCATTTCACTCCAGATAGAAATCTTATTGGTAGTGGTTATGAAGTCATTAACATTGTGCAACAGGAAATTCACACAGTTGGCTACTGGTCAAATTTTTCTGGTCTCTCGATCTCACCTCCGAAAGCAGTCAAAAACAAAGAAATGGCTGTTACCATGATAAATCAGAATCTCAAAATTGTAACTTGGCCTGGTGGGAAGAGCGAAAAGCCACGTGGTTGGGTTATTGCTAATGATGAAAGACCCTTGAGAATTGGATTTCCTAGAAGAGCCAGTTTTCCTGAGTTTGTGACGTTGAATAATGACAGCCACCAAGTACTAGGTTATTGCATAGATCTCTTTTATGAAGCACGAAAGCTTGTGCCTTATGATGTTCCTTTCAGATTTCAGCCATTTGGTACTGGTCTTGCCAATCCAAATTATGATGAGCTTGTAACAATGGTTGCAGATGATGTGAGTATATCATATATTCTAATCTCGCCGTTCAAATGCCATCTAAAGATTTGTCTCTTGTTTCTTACTAATTTTTCCCTTCCATACAAAAAATTGCGCAGCCATTCTCTTATAGCTTATTGATGCAAATGACACGAAGCGTAACTCATTCTTTTTGAAGATTGTAGGTTTTTGATGCAGCTGTTGGAGACATTGCTATTGTCACAAATAGGACAAGGATAGTCGATTTTACCCAGCCTTATGTGTCTACAGGCCTTGTCATAGTAGCTCCCATTGATAATGCAGAATCAAGTGCTTGGGTATTCCTCAAACCTTTTACACCGGAAATGTGGGGTGTTACAGCTCTTTCATTTCTTATAATAGCGGTGGTCATATGGATACTTGAGCATCGTGTCAACGATGATTTCCGTGGTCCTCCTAAGAGACAGATAATTACAATGTTCCTGTGAGTTCCTATGTTATCCTTCCATATTTACTTGTACACTGGTATACTAATAAGACTGTTTGCACACCCTTTCCAACATGTCTCGTATTAACTCTTTACAAATATTATGCAGGTTCAGCTTCTCGACACTTTTCAAAACAAACCGTAAGCATTATTTGGTTTTCCAATTCTACTTTTTATGGTATCTTTGTATATGTAAAGGGAATCAAGCTCAATTTTATGTCTTGTCATATTATCAGCCATCCTTCTGGCAGGCAAAGTAACTTTATTTTGTAAATTTCCAGAAGAAAATACCGTAAGCACTCTTGGTCGAATGGTAATGGTGGTTTGGCTATTCTTACTCCTGGTGATCACGTCAAGCTATACGGCAAGTTTGACATCCATTCTAACAGTGCAGCAACTTTCATCACCCATCACAGGAATTGAAAGTTTGATAACAAGCAGTTCATTTATTGGATATCAAGTTGGGTCATTTGCTTATAGCTATTTGAGAGACAATCTCAACATATCTCCGTCAAGACTAATATCTCTACGCTCCCCAGAAGAATTTGAAAGTGCTCTACGACGTGGCTCAGGAAATGGAGGAGTGATGGCTATTGTAGATGAACTTCCATATGTAGAGTTATTCCTTCAAAATCGTACTGATTTTGGGATCATTGGTCGACCATTTACTAAGAGCGGATGGGGTTTTGTAAGTGATCTATTCATATGCACTATTTATTTAGTTAAACTTTCCGCTGATTTACATACCTCCTATTGAGTTAAATCACCTCCTATTGACAACCTTAGACTTCATAATGACTATTCCACTAGTAGCAGAAGAGCCGAAAAAGTGTTTCAATTTAGAGACCCCTAAGCTTCAAATGGACTCGGGATATTGATTAACATATAACAAGACTTCAATTTTTCGATGAAAACATGAATCGCTTCTAATTGCATGGTTATGGTCAATTTATACTTTCAACTGAATGTTTCTTTGCCATATGTGAAATTGCAGGCTTTCAAAAAGGATTCTCCTCTAGCTACAGACATGTCGACAGCAATCCTGAAACTGGCCGAGAATGGGAAACTTCAAGAGATCCACGAGAAATGGTTTTGCCAGTTAGGTTGTCCAGCAGATAGGAGAAGAGATTCAGAGCCTAACCAACTCCACTTGAGCAGCTTTTGGGCACTCTATCTTTTATCTGGTGCTGTCACTCTCCTTGCTCTGCTTGTCTATCTATTCAGAATTATTCGCCAATATATGCGATACAAAAGGAAGCACGCCGACCCTTCTTCTCCTTCAAATACCAGATGTTCACAGGCAATCTACAGTTTCTTTGACTTCATTGATGAGAAGGAAGAAGCCATCAAAAGAATATTTGCTCATGATACATGTCAGGCTCAAACAAATGGATCCTAATATTCTACACAAATAGTAGTTCCTTATGGTAGCGAATTCTCTATGTGATTGAAATTTAGTGATATTGCTAGATAGTAATGCTAATATATTACTCACCAACTGTATATGTCTTGTACAAATGGCTATACCAAATGAAAAATATCTTATTATCTTGAATGGCTTGATTAAAGTTTGTTAATCAGATGAAAAACTAAGTTTCTGTTGAACATAAAGAGGTGTTACAAAACTAACTAGGCAAGTTCAAAACCTTTGTGAGGTTGCTTGTTCTATTTCCACTGGTCACAATCTCTTCTAATTTTTTAACTTTTTTTTTTAACTCCCTTAACGAAAATCTTGTCTCAGCCACTAGTTCCACTCTGCCTTGATTTTGGTGAACTAGACTTTGTTAACTGTAATAACTGCTATTAGTACTTTCACAACACAGACCATAACGAACAGAGGTACGTTAATAGGAGGCTATTCTAATTTATTTTGCTTACCTATAATTATATGCATTCTTTAAAAAGTTAGGTGACAAATGAATATCTAGCTCATAAGGTCAAGGAGATTCTCGAATATAATAAAATATCTAAAGAAGAATAAAGTTGAAAAGACAATATGTAATCAGGTGCTAATACTTCGTTGTGATGATAATGGTGGAGAGAAAGAATAAAACTCAAATATGATTGTAAGTAGGTTGACAATGATGTAAGTTGGGGACCATATATCTGCGCTTCTTGTAACAATGTTATATTCCTTTTTTCTATTATTATGTAAACAAGATAATTACTATTTTTAAGAACTTGATACCTTTTGGTCAAGTGTCATTATTCTATCGCAGTTCCATTTCTACCGGAGTTTGAAAAAATAAGGGACATTTTGCAAAATCCTTTGTAGGAGATGGATTAACCTATGAATAAACTAATAAAGACAGTCCAGTATACAAAGTATTCGGTATTCACATAAAATCAGGGGAAGGGCTGTGAACTCCCCTTCGTATGAAGAAACGAATTCTTAAAGTAACAATTTGATATTCTTTTTTTCTTTCAATTTTTCTTGTTTTATAGGAGGAAAGGGAACTTAAACGGAAAGAGGACAGTGAAAATTGAATCTACACATATCATGTTGAAATTTCGCGCTGGTACTATTGAAACAAATTACATAAGCCTTGGTCAAAACAACTTGATCTTTTATATCAAAACTCAATGATATCTTATTGGCATTGATCAATTGATATATTTGTGTTTTCTCTACTATTTATTTTACAAGCTGTTGACTTTCTGCTATAGTAAATATTCTAAAAAAGAAACACAGTATTAACGTTTAACAAAAAATAATAAAAAATATCAAATCAAGATATGTAAATAATCCCACTAATAATTTATTATGAAAGAATGATTGTGTTTTTAAATCAATCTACCTAATTGACACTTATTAAATGAGCTTGGTTTATGTTATGTCAGAGGTAATAATTATTTTAGAGTTGGACAAACGTGGGTAATTATTAAAAATAAGTCAACCTCGCAATATGAGTGTCTACAATTTTAAATGATGGAGCAATAAATCAACTGGAATCAAGACTATATATCCCTACAAAATGGTTACAATATATATATATATATATATATATATAGAAAGAGAGAGACGAAAAATCATTTTAGATTTAGGGGACAGAAATTAATTAGGAGTTGTTCATGCATTCACAACCTAATTTAAGATAAATTCAAGAATCTAGAAAAAACCAAAAGTTAGAGAGATTTGCGCATGATAAAATTTTCAGCTATGTAAATAAAAATCAAGTGAAAGTTCAGCACCATTAGGCAAAAGTGCTTAATTGCTTAATGCCTTAATTGGCCCAAGCATCTCACGTTTTACGTCCAAATAATATAACAATCTAGTGAGTACATATTCTAAAAATCTAAAAGTCCATTTAAAGTAGTGGCATGGCAAGTTTAAAAATTATATGCTCAGTATCTAGAATTTTCTTATGCGATAAAATAGTCTCAATCCACGACTATTATACTTACTTTTCTTTTTTCCTAATGATTAAAGAACTATTATATCTCCCCCACTGAAAAATAAGTTTTTCTATTATATAGAAAAGAAAAGATGGTCAACAAGGATATATATGTCATTTTACGAAAAATTATTGTATTATTTGTATTTTTTAAATGCAAATTGTGTTCTCCTTGATGAAATTTTTTATTTTGTGTCTCACACAATTGACGCTAGTTGTGTGAGGTCTTGTCTCACAACTTTGTAGACCCAAAATTTTGTGGATCCAAATGTGTAAGATATGGGTCCCCACAAATGTGTGAGATAAAAAGAGGCCTCACACAACTAATGTCAGTTGTGTGAGGCACATCATAAAATCACTCCCTCATTGATATACGTGGACCCCACATTCCCTTGACCACAACACTCCTTTAAAAGTTTGAATGTACGGTTGATTAGACTACTTTTGCAGAGAGTTACTCCATACAAATACTCATTTCGAATATTTTTTCACATTTGATAAAATTATTAATTTTTGTTTTAGTCAACTAAAAGTTTCCACAGAAAAGTAAATTTAATTTTTAAATAATAAAGCAACAAAAAGAAATATAGATAAATATTTACAAGATTTTCATGTTTACCCATACTATTTAACACAACTTAAAAAATAAAATTAAAAGGTTTTCATGTATTCGCACTATTTGAAGGCGATTTCAAACCTAAATGTTTTATATTCAAAAGTAATTTTAAAAATTATAGTTTGTTAAACATTAAAAGTTAATTTAAGTGATGATATTTGTTCATCTGTTCTAGGAGGTTATCTCTTATGTACTTAATTGATGTGAAAAATTTGATTTATATGGTTTGAACTCCATTCTTCCATGATAAGTCAAAATCTATAAATTGTCTTAAAATATTTTATATTATTTCATTGTAAAAATTAACATATGATAAATCTATAGAAAAAATAAAAAAACATTTCTCTTATATCCTTAATTAAGAAAAAATTAAAATCCCTATAATTTATATAGACTTCTATCAGATGTTTATTATTTTATCACCAGTAACATCATTTTAAACGAGTTATAATAAAATATAATTTGAACTACTATATTGAATTACTACTACAATTTATATCATGTTAATATTTGTTTAGTGCAGTTGGTTCTCTTTGTTTGAAGTAGTAATTGCCTCTTTAAGGATGCAAGTCCCCTTGGAAGTTCTCTTTGTTGACTGTATTAAAAATTTCTCTTGATTTTGTTGTATACAAGACATAAAGTAAAATCTTAAGTTTTTTTTTCCAACTTTTCTCGTATTGTAAAGAATGATGTTGTTCGTTTTAACTTTCATTAGGTAGCTGGTTGTTCCCACTATTGAAACACTTGCAAGACCAAATTGGATGTATTCAAAATTAGTTTACAAATAGATCAGTAAGTTTTTTATTGTAGAAAAATTATTAATATAAATTACACTTGTACCTTTAATGTATTATCTTGTTAAAAATTCAAACATAGTGGGGAAATAATACCATTCAATCAATTTTACAACTTGATGTTATATTTGACATTTATATTAAAATGAGTATTATAGCACATAGTCTTTTTATGTTAATAATTGGAGCAACTTAAGCAGGTTATAATTTATAGTTTAATTTTTGTAAATTATTAAAATAAATTAATTATAAATTGTGATCCCCAATATCATTGTCTATCAGTTATTAAATGGATATAACAATGATCGATTTATTTATCAAAAAATTAATTGAGCACCGACAACAACAATTTTAAGATTACAGTGTTGGGCCCGTATACGGGCCTTTCCTCATCTAGTTAAATAGAATAAAACTAGTGTCTCACAGGTCAGTTGGTTAGCCCTTCAGCCAAAGGAGAAATATGAAAAGGAATTTTTACATTCCTATACACTATATGAAACTATATTACTCTCCCTACTCAAGTTTTACTATAATTACATTTTATATACCAAATTATCATTTATGTACATTTTAAGGGAATTAACGATAATAATTAGTATCCTAAAATTACTCTAACATATCTTCCACTCCCCCACGTTTCTCTCTCCACATCCCATCCTCCCTCCCCACGTATCTTGCACAAAAGAGCAGCAATTCCACTATTGACAACCATTAAAAAGCTTTGAATTCGAATTTGGGTTTTCAAAAAACATTGTTTGTTTGGATTGGATTGTTGTTGCAAAAAATTGAGAATTCTCTCTACGTCTCTCTCTATCTCTCCCAAATTTCAGTAATGTAAAGCAAAGGAAAAGAGAGCAGCAATTCCACAATTGACAGCCATTAAAAAGCTTTGAAGCTTTGAATTCGAATTTGGGTTTTCAAAAATTATTATTTATTTGGATTGGGTGTTGTTGCAAATAATTGAGAATATGATGTGGAGTTTATATCTCAATTTTGAGGAGTTTTGGTGAAGGTTAGACTTGGTTTTGGCTGCATTTCAGATTGAAACTCGAAGAAGAAGAAGAAGAAGAAGAAGAAGAAGAAGAAGAAGAAGAAGAAGAAGATGACATGACATACATTATACTGCAGAAATTGTAGTAAAATTGTAGAAAAATTGTATTCTGTTGTNTATATATATTATATGAAAGTTGAACAACATTGCATAAAAATTATATTTAAGTGTATGATATTGTAGTTGTATATAACTGATAATATATGAAAATTGTAGATAAGTTGTATAATATATAATTAGGTGCATGAAATTTATTTTTACTATGTATAAATCGGATACAAAATATACAAAAGACATATTGTATAAATTTTGTATATACAATTTTGTATTTAAGTTGTATGTTATTGTAGTTGTATTTAACTTGGTAGAAATAATGTGTGAAAGTTTGTAGATAAGTTGTATAATATATAATTAGTTGTATAAAATTTATTTTTACTATGTATAATCATATACAAAAGATATATTTTATAAAATTGTATAAAAATTGTATTTGTGTAATAAGGAATATGTATTCATTCTATTGATAGTATTCACTTATTTAACCATATTTGGACTATGTTTTATGCTCGCCGTCGAAATCTTCTTCTTTCATTCAATTTGGGACTGACAACAATTTACGTGTACAAGTTCACAAAGGCAGATTTGCTTTTGATTCATTAACAAAAAAAATTATTCGCATTAAATTTTGGCTGATATTTT